CCTCCTCCTCATTTGTTTTTTTAATTTTTAGAATTATTTTTATTTTATTTTATGTGTACGAGTGTGTTGTGTGCATGAGTATATAAGTGCACCTGCGTTGTGCAATGCCCACAGAGGTCAGAAGAGGGTACCCGATTCCCCTGGAACTAGAGTTATGGAGGGTTGTTAGCTGCCATGTGGGTGCTGGGAATCAAACTCTGGTCCTCTGCAAGAACAGCCAGTGCTCTTAACCACTGATCATCTCTCTAACCGCCCCCCACCCCCACCTTTTAAAGATAGCGTCTCGGTTGGGCATGGCAGCACGTGCTTTTAATCCCAGCAGAGGCAGGCAGATCTCTGTGAATTCAAGGCCAGCCTGGGCTACACAGTGAGTTCCAGGCCAGCTGGGGCTACAGGGAAACCCTGTCTCAAAAAGACCAAAAAAAAAGGATAGGGTCTCATGTATCCCAGGCAGATTTCAAACTTGCTCTGTAGTCAAGGTCTCCAAATTCTGAGCCTCCTTTCTCCTCCTTCCCAGAATTACAGGTATGCACCAGTAATCCAGTTTTTATGCACTGCTGGGTAGTGAACCCAGAGTTTCATACATCAGGCAAGCACTCTACCAACAGAGCTACAATCCCAAGCTTTTTATTTCTTTGAGACTATGTCTTGATTGTAGCCCAAGTTGGCCTCAAACTCATGGCAACTCTCCCCTCTCTGCTTTCTAGAGTGCTGGGATAGCCATCATACCCATCTTCATTATACATTCCCTATACCGCACACCCAAGTCAAATCCTGTGAAAACCTCCCAGCTTCCGGAGGACCTGTTTGAAGCTCAGCCCAGCAGCACATCTGTCTCCACAGCCCATTCAGATTCAGGAGCAGCTCCAGGTTCTCTCAGAACTCGGGGGACAATGGCAGCTTCCTCTCACTTCCCTGAAGTTCTGAGTTCTGAGTGGAAGTTTTTCCTTCCTGACAACTTGGCCTTGACTTTTGGCTAACGCCAGACAGTAAATCTAAGCTCAAGGTCTTCCTAGGTAGGATCTCTCCCCAGGGTCTGTGGCTGTTCAGGGCCCCTTTGACTATAGCTTGTACATTCAGGCTGGCTATGGGCAGATGGATGGGCTACACTGGAGTTTCTGAAATCTGACAAAGCTCATTTCTGGGGTCAAATGTGGGCAGAAGAAAGGTGAAGGTGGGCAGGCTGCCCTTCTCCCAGGTGCAGATGCAGGCAAAACCAGCAGGAGGCCTGCCCCAAAGCTGGACAGGGCTCCACAGGGCTGTGCAATGGAAACTCTCCCTTGAGAGTGAACGCAGGGCTTACTGAATGGGGTTGGAGGATTCCACTGGTTATCTTCTCCCTGAGCCACATTATCTCTATCATCCAAACCTAGAGCTGAGGGGGTCAACCTTCCATTATTTCTCCTTCAACCATCACTTCGATAAACACTCCCAAAGTCTGGCAGATTTTCCCACAAACATTGACCTCTGCCCTCCTTCCCCATCCTCACCACCTCTGCCCTGCTCCAAGCCCCCACTGGCACTCCTTGTGCTTACTCAGCACTCACTCTCTCCCCAGTCCATCCTTCACCACAGCCAGAAGTGTGGAAGATGCAGGTTTAACGGTATGTTTCCTGACATCAGACATCTATCATCAACAGAATCTAAAGCTTAAGTATCTTTGCTTAGGTGCCTGCCTACCTCTCCAGCACGTCTTGCAGCCAAGCGGGCCCTGTGCTAGAACCCCTGTGGTACCTAAACCACCACACACACAAGTACATATCCATACCTGTGCCATACTGTTCTCTGTCTAGAGTGCTTCACAGACCCCTAGAAAACTTTTTACTCAGGATCCAGCTTAAGTTCTAAGGGCTCTCCTCAATATCTTCATCCCAAGGCAAGTCACTCTATTTCCTTGGTTCACACCACTAGCTGCAGACTTCTGGGAAAGCGCCCCCCAACATCTGTGTAAGTCAGGTGCCTGCCTTTGTCATCCTGACCCATATATTCCTCCAGGGCAGGGTCTGCCCCTTATTTTCTTTCTTGACCTAGTACCTGGCTAGCACATGCCAATCACATATGGGAGCTCACAGGTGTTCAGTTGAGATTCTGTATTTTGAACCACCACACACATAAATGAGTTGTAATGCTTCCTGGTGACATTAACTCAAGTACCAAACTAGGCTCATTGGTAGTGACTCCCAGAGAACCTGATGTATATTTTCTCTCATGTGTGCTTTAAAACACTATTTCTTATCAGCTGGGCATGGTGGCACATGTCTATAATCCCAGCACTAGGGAGGCAGAGGCAGGTGGATCTCTGTGGGATGGAAGCCAGCCTGGTCTACATGGTGAGTTCCAGGTCAGCTGGAGCTGAGACCCTGTCTCAAAAACAAACAAAAGGTTTTATGAATGAGCTGAGATGAATGAATAACCTGAACTGTTCTTATCCAGACTGCTAAACTCCCCATAGATTTCCTTTTCAGAAGGAATACAATAAAATTTAGAGAGCTCATGATCCCTCTGACAGCTCATTGGAACACAGTTCTACTCCCTATGAATTGCTTCAAGGAGTCCCTGGAAGATCTTTCCTGCAGCCTGTAATGAAAACTGCCATACTCAGTGAGTGCTGAGTACTAAACCTGCAATATCTTACTTAATCCTTGCCAACTGCTCTACAGAGGACAGTTTACTGTTAGCATTCAGAGATGAGAAATCTGGGCATAAAGAGAACAAATAACCCTTGGTGACTAGCAGGGCTGGGATCAGAACCGAGATCTGTCTGAAAGCAGAGCCAAATAAGCTCTTAACCACTGTAGTCTGCCACTTTATCCATGAAAGGCACAACAGAGCAAATGTGACAGACACCCTTTACAACTGGCCTTCTGGGAGGGCAGCCCCACCCCCACAGCTGCTTAGGTGACCTGAAAGTCCAGGAAGAGACGGCCACATGTGCCAGGCACTTCTTTCCCAGGCCATGCAAGGGGCCGGCCACCCAGTACTGGATACATATGGTGCCTTCTCAGCAGAGATCCACAAGGCTAGTACCAGCTCTCCTCTCAGAAGAATGTGGTGGTCTCTGAGGAGATCTCTAGTCCTTTCATCTCCCTCAGCAGTTCCTTCCCTCTTACCCAGAGAGATCCAGTCATTCACTCCTCAGCTTATAAGCTTTTCACTGGCTTCCTAGTACACTGGGCATAAAATTCCAAATCATTAATGTGGCATTCCCTAGTCAACTTTCTGTGCTTCACTTTGCACCAACTTCCATACCACTGTACTGAACAAGCAGAGGTTTCTGTCATAAAGTGAGTTTTTCTGCCTCTATCAGACTCTTGGGAATTCTCTTCCAGTAGAGCATCTTCCTCTTTATTCTCACTTGGCTAAGTCTCTCATTCCTCTCCTTCTAGACTGGATTCAATCGTCACTATTAAGTCTCTTCCCAGAATACTTTACCCCGTGCCTACAAGTTCCAGACAGCACTCACTTCCTGCAGCTACTAGCCTTTTTTTCTTCTTCTTCTTCTCCTTCTCCTCCTCCTCTTCTTCTTCCTCTTCTTCTTCTTCTCTTGAGACAGGGTCTCCTTATAGCCCCAGCTGGCCTGGAACTGACTACGTAGAACAGGCTGGTCTTGATCTCAGAGATCCATCCACCTGCCTCTGCCTCCCAAGTGTTGGGATTAAAGGAGGGGACCCACCACTCCCAGCTCCAGACTAGCTGTTTAGATCATATTTCAACTATCTGTTTACAGGTCAGTTTCCCCTAACTTGATAGTGACTCCATCACATAGGAACAGGTAGAATTTACAGATCTCTTTATTACATGGTGCATGTGGTTCTTTGTGTTAATGCTCCATAACAACTCTATATTACCACCACTGTTTTCCAAATGAGGACACAGTGACAAACTGTCCAAGGTCACAGAAAGCTTCTGAGCCAGAATTTGAACTGAGGGAGTCTGGCTCCAAAGCCCACTCTTAACCACTTACACTACAGAGCACTTTCTTCTCCAGGCAAAGGCCCTGATTGATTGAGTGAGTGAATGAATGAATGAATGAATGAATGAGTAAGGACTATCTCCGGACTGTTTAGGTCTAATCCACAAATTGGCACCAAAGGGCCATTAAGCAGAGCCAGGGGAACTCACAAGCACTGTTTACAAACAAGGACTCTCTGGGCCCTGCAATTTTGCTTTTCCTTATCTAAGGCAAAACTCCTCACTCAAGCCAAGAGGGAAAGGTGCCCAGCGCAGCGTGACTACCCTCCTCTTACCCGATGATTCTCAAAACCAAGCACAGTCAACCGGTTTCCTCCAGTGACTTAAAACAGAGCAAAGTCTCTCCTGCCACAGAAGACAGGCTGTCATCTCTTCCTTCCGCCAACAACCTGGGGGTTGGGGGTGGGCATCCGAAGGCTCCACTTACAGGCTGAAAGGTGGGGCCAAGCAGCGTAGGAATGGGCGGGCCTGACCAGCAAGGCAGGTGTAACACTGACCACAGCAAACTATCCCGTGGGGAAGACCGGCCCAACGTGGATCTGGCAAGCAGGTAGCTGTGACTTGCACCTGAACACCGCCCAGGATGTGAAAATTCCCCAGCAGTGATGATGCTGGTGCCAACGGGTGAGGGCACCAGGAGGAAAACCTCGGCTGGCCCTCCCTGGGGACTCGTCCTAACTTTCAAGTCACTCTCGGGATCAGAAGCATGGAGAGGCGGAGGGCGTCTCTTTGGGGAAAACCTAGCTAGGGTCAAACGCCCGCCGCTCACTGACTGGCTGAGAGGCTCGGGCAAGGCTGGCAGTGCCCACTTCCAGGGCTGCGGCAAGGACTGAAGCTCCCCGCGGCGGCCGCCCCCGTCGCTGGGGAAGGACAGACCCGGGCGCAGGAGGGGGCATTCGTTTTGCCATTTATGTCTCGCCAGGATAGCCTCGGGCTGTCACCCGGGTCCCACCGCCACGGCCGGCGAGGCCCGCCCCGCGAGCATTCAGCCCCGTACCCGGCTTCGCGTCCCGGGACCCCGGCCTCACCTTTCCCGAGGGGTCAGCACTGCTATCCCATAGTCCGCAGCCCGGAGCCGGGGCTGCTCGGCGCTCCGTCCCGGGGGGCCGCGGCCGGGCCGGGGGCGTGGGAGCCGCTCACCGCCGCCTCCCAGCGCAGCAACCCGAGCCACCGCCGCCGCCTCCCTCCATGGCTGCGGCGCCGCCACCTGACAACGGAAGTGACGCACCACCCCGCGGTCCCGCCCCGGCCCCGTCCCTTCGCCTGAGCTCGGGGACCTGGAGTTGGGCGCCATTTTGACGACGGGCGGAAGCCTTCAAGTGGGAGGCCCAGATCAGATCGATGATTGGTTCAGGGTGGAGTCGGGGTGAAAATTTGTAAGACGATTGGAGACGGAGAACCCGGGGGGCGGCCCTTACCGCAAATCTACGTCTGCAGTGAAGCACAGCCGGGGGCACTGCCCCGCATTGACTCCGCCGACCCTCGCTTCCCCGCCAGGGGAGAAGTCTCTAGAGGCTGATACCACCTCCCAACCGTATAGTATTTATCAGAAAGGTGATCTTCCTTGACTCTCATTTCTAGGCATCTGGAACTCTGCGGGAAGCGCTGCAGTTAAAGCTCACGAGAAGACAGGAATTGCTGTCGCTACGCTCACAATTTATTTCATTTTAGGCCCTTTAGAAACCCCAAGGCTGGCCTGATTCAGCCTTGACATCCTTGGAGTCTTGACCAGGGAGGTTTACAGTGAACGATTCCTATTAACAATTCCGGCAGGCTGTGTCTACTTTCAGTCCCTCCTGCCACAGTTTCAGTCCCTTTCTCCTCCTCCAGCAACCACGCCCTCCGTGAATCAGCTCCTTGCACCAGCAGATGAGCCCTTTAAAGGGATTGCATCAGGCTGGTGACTCACTGGGGCCCTCAGAAAGCCTGCCTTCCCTCCCCTGCTGTGCAGAAACAACCAGAAGGGCTTGCTGGCCGCAATACCAGAGGCTATCAGCCCCAACTCCTTTGTTTGGGAGAGGTGAGCAGAGGTGCTTGAAGCTTTGACGCCCCCACACACACACTGTACCCATGTGTAGGCACGCGTGGCCACGCCTGTGCACTTCTAGAGTGTATATATGCATTTGTCATTTTGTCATCTCTACACAAGGTAGTGCAGGGAGATGACAGCTTGTCTGAATGAGGTCTAGCTGCCCCAGCCTGCTTCCCTACCCTCACCACCCCCATTGGGGGTAGCCACAGAGATGCACATAAGGCTGAATAACAATAGTAATCAGAGCAATTTCCAAGGCTGTGTTTCCAGCAAAGTTAAGCACTTTGGAAACCTGAGTCTCAGGCATTTATTTACAGAAGCTAGCTGGGAGAGAGGAAGTAACCTGTGCAAAGACACTCAGCTAATAATGGCAGGGCTATGGTATGAAGCCAGTCTGGTGAATTCCAAAAGGCTAGGGTTTGACTTTGTTTCTGCCACCTGCAAGCTGGGTAACTAAGTGCAAATCCTGGCTGTCCAAATGGAGATAACATGCACAAGATCTGGATGAGGACTCGGTGAGTTTTGGACACAGCTTCTCCATACACCCAATCAATGCCCACTGATAAGAGTCAGGGAGCCTCTGTGAGATGCATACCTAAAAGCAGGCATAAAGAAGCCAGGCCCGCTGCACTCCTCTCTGTGACAAAGGGGAAAGCCTAGGGATTCCGGAAGCCCTGACTCTGACAAGAATGAGTTTTGGGTTTTCCAAATCTCTCATTATCAGCAAGATGAATCACTGGGCGCTGACACCATCATCCCAACTCCCTGGAGACTCTCAGCTGACTCAAAATACAGGATTTTTAACAAAGCAGAGGAGGAGAAAGTGAAAGAGGGTAAGGAATAGAAACCAAAGGTGCCAGCCAGAGATGAAAAACTGTCATCAAGACACCAACTCGAGGGATCTCCGGGACACACATGCATGGTGACAGTCTCCTGCTGGCTCTCCAGCTCTGGCTCATTGGCAGATGGTGCTGCCATAACAAAGTGACAGATGTCACAACAGCACAAGATGGCTGCTTGACAAGGTATAGGCAGATTGGCCTATCACCGAAGGAGGGGAGGAGACCTCACCCCTAGGGGTTCTTCAGGCTTCAGAACCCCCAAACCCCAACCCTCCTTAGCTCTTTTTAGCCTCTTTTTGTAGCCAAGTCTCAAGGCCTGGGTATGGCAAGGTTTGGTTTTTGTGTTGGAGTTTTGTTTTTTGTTTTTTGTACTAGGAATTAAACCTACCACCTCTCACAAGCTAGGCAAACACTCTACCACTAAGTTATATCCCCAGCCCTTTTTTCCTTTCTTTTTCTTTTGAGACAGGGTCTCCCTGTAGCCACAGCTGGCCTGGAATGCCCTATGTAGACCAGGTTGGCCTTGATCTCACAGAGATTTACCTGCCTCTGCCTCCTGAGTGCAGGGATTAAAAGTGTAAGCCACCAAGCTCGGTGATTTTTTTTTTAAAGACAAGGTCTTACAATGTTATAGCTCCAGCTAGCCTTGAACTTGAAGAGATCACGAGTGCAGAGATTAAAACTATACACCATCACACCCTGAGGTTTTTAGTTTTTTTGTGTGTGGCAGGGATTGAACCTATGATCTCTCACTTGTTAGGCAAGCATTTGTGACTAAACTATATCCCCAACCCTTTTTTTTTTCCTGTTTTTGAGATGGGATCTCACTAAGTTGCTCAAATTAGCTTCAACTCAGTTGGAAGCATTAACAGGCCCTGAACTTGCAATCCTCCTGCCTCAACTTCCCTAGCAGTCCAGATTACAGTTTGTACCACCAGGCCCAGCAGTATGGCAAGTTTCTGTGTCAGACCCACATTGTAGAAGAGCAAAACAATGCCATGTGGCCTGGGGATATAGCTCATTGGTAGAATACTGGCTTAGCATGCACAAAGCTATGGGTTCAATTACTTGACACAATTCTATCACTTGGAAGGTGGAGGCAGGCAGATAGAAATTCAGTCATCCTTGGGTTCAAAATAACAAACACAAAGTAGACTAGTATCATGGTTAAGATCATGGAATTTGGTGCTAGACAAACCTGATTTCAAATCCCCACCTTGAACACATCACTTTTCTCATCTGTAAAATGGGGTTATTAATACACAGGGTTGTGATGATGATTTGATAAAATTACTTTCATTCCTCAAAGACTGATGGAGTCCTGCAGTACCATACTGAAGCTCTGCCCTGTAGAGCTCACCAACCTCCCAAAACAGAGCATAGTACAACCACCATTATGTTGCCCATTGTGGCATTCTGCCTTTAACCTAAACTGGGGAAGAGTCCCTTCCCCCTCTGGGCCTCAGTTTCTTCAACAGTGATGTGATGGAGTGGGACTGGGTCAGTGGTTCCCAGCCTTTCCACCTTTAAAGATTTTTTTTAAAAAAGTGTGTGCATATGTATATGTGCACGTGAGTGTGGGTGCCTGAGGAGGCCAGAAGACAATGTCAGATTCCCTGGAGCAGGAGTTAGAGGGGTTGTGAGCTGCCTGATGTGTTAGGAACCAAACTCCAGTACTCTGCAAGAGCAGGAAGCACCTCTAACAATTGAGCCATTTACTGTTTCTCCTCCACACAAATCTGACCTTTGGTCCTTTTAGTCTGTTGTACAACTCTGTAGCAAGTCATTTCTTCCTTTTCATTGATGACAGCCTTGTGTTACAGCCACTAAGCTTGTGACCAGGACTAGCTGGCCAACATGACTATTTTGCTGTTGGTCTAATTCCAACCCCTAGTAGAGCTTAAGCTAGTTTCCTTACATTCATCAGCTGTATCTCTGGGTCCTTCTGTAATTAATGAGAATTCAAAGGGCCCCTACTACCCTGGGAGGCCCATCAGCCATGGATGCCAGACTAGAACTCACTGGACTGGATTAAGTCCTCCCTGCTTGGCCCAGCTGAGCTGGACATGCCAGTGTCCCATATATGTCCCTGGGGAAAGTTACATGCCCATCCAGTCTTCTGAGCCTCAGTGGTTCCCTCCCCACAAACAAGAGACATGCCCCCAACTCCTATCCCTAGGATTGGGAGGGAAAGGTGGGGACACAGCAGCTTGAACACTCAAGAATTCTTGGGGGTTCTGCTATCGATGGGACCCCCACTTTGGCCAGAGCTGCAGGAAGGGTGGACATGTAAGTTTGAACAAAGGCAATGGCAATCTAGAATCCAAGAGAACACCACCATCTTGAAAAATATTGCCATCTTTTCCTTGGTGTCTTTCACAGGTTATTCTGCATGTGTTACCTCTGGGAATAAAGGACACAACAGAAGGCAGAGACCATTTTTAGCTTCTGAATTCCAAAAGCCCAGCCTTCAAGGAGGAACGGAAAGAATTTCTACAGAAACTAATTTAGAAACCCATGAAGAGGTGGATGTGGGAGCCTAAGACTGGTGGAGAGAGGGTCCCTGACAACAGAAGATTCTCTGCTGAGTGCCAGCTCAGGCTCAGGGACTGCCTGGAGACAAGAACTGGCTCTTTTTCTGCATGGTGAACCAGGGAAGTTAATAAAATCCTCTAGAAAGATGTAGTTCTGGAGCTGTGGGCTATATTTGGCCTACCTGGACATTTGGACATGTCTGTGTCCTTTATATGTCCCTGGGGAAAGTTACATGCCCATCCAGTCTTCTGAGCGTCAGTGGGCTAAAGTAACCCAAGACCCAAGAATTTCTTGAGCCTAACAACCTGAGATAAACAGAAAAAAAAAAAAATCTAACACTTGAGCTGGGGGCATAGTGGTACACACTTGCAATACCAGCATTTGGGAGGGGAAGGCAGGACTATCAACAGTTCAGGGCCAGCCTGGGCTACATGAGACTGGGTCTCAAAAACAAAGAAACCAAAAAAATCTAACACACGAGAGGGTTGGGGGTGACAGGTATTCTGGACAGAGAACAGGGACTCTTTAGCAGTTTTTGAGGGCTGATGACAAAAGACCAAACCAAAGAAGGACATCTCAGTAGATGTCAACATGACTGGATGGATGCCAAATGAGACTACCCTCCCTTTCCTTAACAGGAAAGGCCCTAGAATTCAAATATCATTTCAAGGAAAACACAAGGATTTTGTTGGCAGCAATTAAGTTTCTCACACTCTGAGTGGGGTAAAAGAGGAGGTATGGTGAATTAAAGAAAATTTAAGTTCTAGTTCTTGCACAACAGAAATTGGAACCAGAGCCTGGGGTGTAGCTCAGCTGGCAGGCTTTGTGTTTAGCACAGGCCCCGGGTTCAATCCCCAGCAAGGCTTCCCCCCAAAAGAAACTATAAGCAGCTACACTCCTTGCACATAGCCTCATATTATTTGCCCCATGTCCCACTGCTTGCCCTGACTGCCCCCCCACCCCTTGCCCTATCAGTAAGAACAATATTTATCCCAAACCAAGCTTTCCCACCTCAAGATCTCCTCACTGGTAGTTTTCTCTGCCTTTCTGTGGCTCTTTGTTTTACTTCTTCAGACCTTTTTTTTTCTTTCTTCCTCCCTTCATGTGTGTAGTGTGCATGTTCTGCATGCATGGTTTTGCATATACATATGTGGGTGCCATGTGTATGTGGAGGCCTGAGGTTGATGTCTGGAATTATCCTCAATCACTCTTCTACCTTATTCACTGAGGCAAGGTGTCTCAATTAAAACGAGAGCTTGCCAATATAGATAGTCTTGCTAGCTAGCTTGCTCTAGATATCCCTGTCTCTGCCTTCCAAGACTAGAATTACAAGTGGGGTATCATGTGTACTCGGTATTTGCCTGGGTTCTGGGGATCCAAACTCCAGTCCTCAGGCTTGTGCAGCAAGCACTTTAACCAGTGAACCATCTCCCCAGTCTCTCTTCCTCTCTCTCTCACTCTCGTTTCTATTTTTTGAGTCTCACTCTTAGCTCAGGCTGTCTTAGAACCTGCAGCAATCCTCCTGCCCTTAGCCTCCTGAGTGCCAGGATTATATTCTAAGCCACTGTGCTTGGCTGGGACTGATTTCTTTCAAGCTAGGGACAGGGGAGGGCAGGATATTCCAGACCTTCTGATGACAGCCTCTTTCCCAGAGACTCTCAAGAAAAAGGCCACTTTCTACCTGACCACACAGAAGTACCTCTACTGGAGCTATGTGAGCTGTAAAGCCTAAAGACCTACTGCTTGGGCCAAGTGTCCTATAAAGTAAGTCTTAGAGTTCAGCTCCGTGTGAGACCTGGACTCTGCTACTTCCCAGGAGCCACAGGAAGAGTAGCTGGTACAGGCTGGTACAGGTGTGTACATATCCAAGTTTGGCTTTAGGAAAAAGAAACAAATGCAAGAGAGATGGGGAATTAGGGATGATTCACTCCAAACAGATTTAATAATCTCACTGGCAGGGTTGATTACTCCTTGACAGACGTCCTCAATCAGTAAATGGCAATTCCAGATGAAAATGATCAAAAGGAAGACTGTCACCTACCCCAAGGCCACAGGTAGACAGACAGGATTCTGGGTCCCAGGGTGAGTCTGGGAGGTGGAAGCCTAAGAAAGGCAGGTGGCATTTGTCAGATACCAGGTCCCTGGGAGGGAGGGATGGCAGAGAGTTGGCTCAGAACACCGGAGAACCCTGAGTTGGTGCTGCAGGTTTGCTGAGGGGACAACCTCACTTGCGCCTTTTGGAAGGAAACTCCTGTCGACCTTGGCCCTTGCCACCGAAGTTTCGCACACGATGGATAATCTGTATCTGTTGCTCGATGGTGGCAGTAATGTTCACATCATCTGGGATATGGACATATCGAACATTACGGCCTGTCACAAAGAGGTCATCCAGCTCAACCTGATGTCCCCAGCGGTCAGTATAGGTGACATTGGCCAGGCGGATGTTCATAAAAGCATCAACATTGTCAATGCGTCCTCGTGCCACACTCTCATCTCTCAGGTCCACAGTGGTTACCTGGCCCTGGAGGCCCTGCAACAGGATGATCAGGCTGTTCTCGGAGATGGTCCGCTCCTTCACGGAGTGGCTTAGTGCCATCCTTCCACATTGGCTGGCTGCTCACTGTGGGCAGAAACACATAGATAGGAGATGTAGCAGGCAATTACTATTCACTGCCAAGTCACAAGCAAAACCACCAGCAAGGACCTCCCCAAGCCCAACCACCTCCCCATTCTTTCTCTTTTTTCTGTATTGCTAGGGGCTTCCTGCACACCAGAAAAGTGTTCTACCACTGAGCTATAGCCTCAGCCCTTTATTTTATGTTTTGGTATAGGGTCTTGCTGAATTGCCAAGGCCAGCCCTAGAACTTGCAATCCTTTCCTGACACCTTTCCAATTTTTGTACCCACGGATACGGGTGTTTCAGGAACTTGTCTCATAGAATCCTCAGACCACTTTACAAATCAAGGATTTATTTCTATTTATAAATGGGGAAAATATGGCTAGAAGAGGCCAAACGATTCTTACAATTTGTCCAAGGTCACACACATTAAGGAGAGGTGCTGAGATTCAAATCCACAGCTGCCTGGGCCCCAAACCCCACACCAATGATTCACTGCCCTCTGTACATTGGAATCACCTGGAAAATTTTCACCTGGCCTCCACATCCCTGAGATCCTGATTTATTTAGCTATGGGGGGATGGGACCCAGGTATGCTTGCTTTTTTTTTAAAAAAAAATATTTTCTTTTCTGTAGCTGGGCGTGGTAGCACACTCCGGTAGTCCCAGCACTTGGGAGGCAGAGGCAGGTGGATCTCAGGCCAGCCTGGTCTACATAGTGAGTTCCAGGACAGCTGGGGCTACAGGGAGACCCTGCTTCAAAAAGACAAAAAAAAAAAATTTCTTTTCTAAATTATTTACTTTTATGTGTAGGAGTATTTTGCTTGCATGTATGTCAGTGCACCCATGTCCTGCAATGCCCTCAGAGGCCAGAAGAGGGCATTGGATCTCTTGGAAGTGGAGTTAAGGACGGTTGTGAGCAGCCATATGGGTGCTGGAAAGCAAACCTAGGTTCTCTGTAAGAGCAGCTGTTGCTCTTAACTACTAAGCCATCTCTCCAGCCCCATATAGTGGTTTTTAAAAGTTCCCCAGATAATTGTAATGTGCTAATGAGCTTGAGAACCACTATTATAAAGTGTAGTTTATATCTTGCTAGAAAATATACTCTGCCAGGCACTTTTTAATACATAAACCAAGGCTAGAGAGATAGCTCAGGGGGTTTAGAGCACTTGCTGCTCTTCCAGTGGACCAGAATACAGTCCTCAGCACCCATACTGGGTGGTAACTGTAGCTCAAGGGGATATGACACCCCCTTCTGGTCTCCAAGGGCACTCCACACACATACACAGATGTGACATGTACTCACACAGACATACACACATACATGTAAATAAAAACAAATCTTAAAAAACAAAATGGCTGGGCGTGGTAGCACACACCTTTGATCCCAGCACTTAGGAGGCAGAGGCAGGTGAATCTTTGAGTTCGAGGCCAGCCTGGTCTACATAGCAAGTTCCAGGCCAGCTGGGGATACAGGGAGACACTGTCTCAAAAAAAACAAAACAAAACCAAAAAACCCCAACCCAACCTAACCCAACCCAACCCAAACTAAGCCAAGACACAAAGAAATAAAAAACCAGCAATGATCCAGCCAGGCATGGTAGTACACAGTTTTAACACCAGCATTCTAAAGGTTAAGGCAGTTGGAGCCCCATAAGTTCGAGGCCACCTGAACAAATAGTGAGTCCAAGTCAACCTGGACTATGAAACGAGACCCATTTCAAAACAAAACAAGTCAGATGTGATGGTTCATACATTTGGTCCCAATACGTTCAAGGCAGAAGCAAGCCAATCTCTGTGAATTCCAAGACAGTCAGGTCTACATAAGGAGACTCTGTCTCAAACAAGATAAAAGCATAATCCCAGGTATCTCCCTAGACCTACTGGAACAGAATCTGCCATTTTAAGTCCTAGGGTAAATTAGATGCAACTTAAAATTTGGAACTCAATAGTTAACACCATGCGGCTGGAGAGATGGCTCAGGGGTTAAGAACACTGGTTGTTCTTCAGAAGACCCAGGTTTGAATCCCAGCACCCACATGGCAGCTAACAACTGTCCGTAACTCCAGTCCCAGGGGATCCTACAGCTTCTTCTGACCTCTGCCAGCATTGCACGACAAGGGTGCACTTACCTACAGGCAATACAGGCATTCACATAAAATAAAAATAATAAATAAAATTTAAAAAAAAAGTTAACACCAGTTCTTAAATGTCCATCAAAATTATCTAGAGGGCTTTTTTGTGTTTGAAGACAGAATCTCATGTACCCTGAACTCACTATGTAGCCAAAGCTGGCCTTGAACTACAGATCCTTCTGCCTCTACTTCCCAAGTGCTGGGATTAAAAGACCTACACCAGCACTCCCTGTTAGAGGGGCTTGTGAAATCACAGATTGCTGGGCCCCACTAAGTGAATCTGAGCCAGGGGCCTGAAATGTGCATTTCTAACAAGTTCTGGGATAAGGCTGATGTTGTTGTCTACACTATGTAGGTGTCATACAAGTATAAATTTAGGTAATCAACTGCGGAAAAAAGTATATAAAGTACACTGGTATTTTTGTGTTTCTGAGACAGGATATCTTGTGTCATACCAGCTGGTCTCACTCTACTATCTGAGCTACATCCCCAGCCCAAAGTGCAAACTTCAAGGTTTTTGAAGGCAGAGAAACTGAAACCTAGGTTGGAATCCCCACTTTACTGTTGTAACTCTGAAACAGTTACTTAATATCTGGGAACCATTTCCACATTTATTCAACCTCAGGGTAAATAAGGCTACCAGAATCTCACCACCTCAAAGGTACTTTCCTTTGCTTTCAACATGCCCTGATACTGAATTAATACAACTATGTCTTATCTATTTTTAGACCCTGAGTCAAAGGTAGTGGAACTTGCCTTATGACCTCATTGAGCATATCGAGCAAGCTGTACAAAGACTCATTAGGTGTGGCAAGCCATACTACACTGAGTACTGGGGACAGAGCTGGGTCCTAGGAAGGGCCTAACAATCTCAGTCTTCAGTCTGAGAGTCAGAGATCAAGCAAGGGCTTGTGGCAGCCACTATGAGTGCAAAAAACGGTCCCTAGACGCTAAGGGTCAGGAGATGGGGGTGCACCAGGAAAGTTGAGGCAGGAAGGCGAACCGTGACTTTGAGACCAGCCTAGACTGCGTAGCGAGACCTGTGCCTCAAAAAACAAAACAAAACAAAACAAAACAAAACAAAACAACAAAACCCACAAAAAACAAAAAACAAAAAAGTAGTCTTTGGGACCCCGAGGCAGACCCAGACTTTAGCTCTGGCTCTGGCACTTCCTGGAAAGGAGGCCCTGAGTTTCCCGGAGCCTGCCCCTGGACATCAAGCTTGTTAGCCCCAGGAGGAAGCCCCGGATGCCGAATGTGCAGCGTGCAAAGGCTGTGGGGAGAGGAGGCAGCACCGACGCGCCAGGGCCAGCCGCCTCCCGGCTCCCCGCGCGCCCGGCTCCCCGCACCCCGACGACCGACCCACCACACGCTGCCTTCGGCCTTCCGTTCTCGCGTCGCCTGCCTGCCACAGACGCAGGGGTCCCAGCGCGTCGAGGCCGCATCACAGCCGCAGACTACAAGCCCCAGAAGGCTGCGCGTCGCCGGCTCCGCCCCCGTCTTCCTCCTGCAGTGATTGGCTGGTACTCGAGACCGGTCATCCCTGGTAGGGCACCTTCTCAGGTCCTGGGCTTGGAGCGGTGTCCCTTGATGGCCTGCTGAGCCTAGTGCTGCTACGGAGAGAGTGTCTGTAAGAAAAGAAAAGAAAAGAAAAAAAAAGATAAACGGTCCTCAGCTGGTTAAAATAGTGTGGTTTTGCTGGGCTTGGTGGATCACACCTTTAATTCCAGGTCAGTGAGGCTGGGGAGAGAATCAGGAGCCACAGCAAGGTGCTGTTTGGTATAGGAGGACAGGCTCCAGTTTCCAATGTCTAGATGTCTGGATGACTGTCATTTTAGGCAAATTATCCTACCTGGGCTCCCCATTCCTCATCTAGTAGTAGGAGTACAATAGGCTATGAAAGGCCGTTTACTTTCTGTAAAAAAAAAAAAAAATATTGCATTTGTGTGTGTGTCTACAGAGGTCAGGGGAAGCATGCCAGGGTGCAGGTGTGGAGGCCAGAGGACAACTCCTTCCACCATGTGAGTGGCAGGAATAGAACTCAAATGGACAGTCTCGGCACTGAGTGCCTTAACCCTTTTGAACCATCTGTCTGACCCTGCACTGAACTTTTTCTATGTGGGTACTGGCGATCCAAACTCAGGTCCTTAAGTTTACTCAGCGAGCACTTTCCTGAGTGAGCCAGCTCCTGGAGCCCCTAATTTACATTTGAAAAAGCCTATTTTCCCTTAGCTTCAATGTTCTCATTAGGGAAACAAAAGAATATCCATCTCAGAATTGTTGCAAGATTTTTTGTTTTTCAGAGGTCTCTTGTAACCCTGGTTGACCTGAAACTCATTGTGTAGCAGAAGATGACACTGAACTTGTGATGCTCCTGCCTCCATCTTCTGAGTACTGGGATTACAGATATGAGACACCACACTGGGGTCAAATGTAGAGCTTTTTCTACATGCTAGACAAGCAGTCTACTAACTGAGCAACAATCCCTTTCCCCCCAGTCCAGGTTTGCTTTTTTGAGACAAGGTGCCATATAGCCCAGGTTATACTGCCGCTGAGAATGACTTTGAACTCTTAATCCCCCTGACTCCATCTCCTGATTACAGGTGTGTGCCACCTCCAGATAGGAGCATCTTATTAAAGATTTTTATTTTTTAATTATGTGTATATGTGTGTTGTAGGGTGTGCTTGTGAATGTAGTGCCTGCAAAGGCCAGAAGAAGGTGTTAGAGCTAAAGTTAACAAGGAGTTTTAAACCACCAGATCAGGGTGCTGAGAACCAATTGCAGATCCTCTGGAAGAACAGCAAGTCCTCTTAAATCCTGAGCAATCTCTCCAGCCTCAAGAATAGCTTATAAAAGGCTTCCTTCTTCCTGCATTCAGTTGCAGATTTCCATCTTTCCCAGAAACCCTTTCTTTCTATTGGTGATCACAGCTGGCCTCCTCAATTCTTTTTTAAAAAAGATTTTTATTATTTTTATGTATATGAGCATATTGTCAGCATGCATGTAAGTGCACCTGTGTCATGAAATGCCCATGGAGGTCAGAAGAAGGTGTTGGGTGCCCAGGAACTGGAAATATGTTAGCTTCCCTGTAGGTGCTGGGAACTGAACCTGGGTCCTTTGCAAGAGCAGCCAATGCACTTAACCACTGAGCCCTCTCCAGCCCCTAAATTTATTTTAAAAAATACTTTATTATGGGGCTGGAGAGATGGCTCAGCAGTTAAGAACACTGTTCTTGAGAAGACCTGGGTTTGAATCTCAGCACGCACATGGCAGCTAACAACTGCCTGTAACTCCAGTTCCAGGAGATCTAAACAGCCTCTTCTGATCTTCCCGGGCATTGCGCGACACAGGTGCACTTACTACATGCAGGTAATACATGCATACACATAAAATAGAAATATAGGTACATATAGGTAAGTGCACTCGTGTCATGCAATGCCTGAGGAGGTCAAAAGGGTGTTGGATCCCCTGGGACTGGAGTTATGGACTGTTTTTAGCCATTATGTGACTGCTGAGACCCAAACCTGAGTTTTCTTCAAGAGCGGCCAGTGCTCTTAATCGCTGAGCCATCTCTCCAGCCCATCCTCCTCTTAGCACCAAATCCTTTTAAATTCCAGGTCCCTTTAATAAGATGATGCTATACAGCAGTCCTGTCTGCATGAAATAACTACCATCATCACGACTTTGGCTGAGCCTGATTGCTAAACATAGTCACAATTGGGCTTGTTGACGGTTGTGCTCATTCATTAAAGGAGTGCTAAGCAGGGTCACTAGACCCTCACCTGAGTATGTATCCAGCCACTCTTGCCAGCCAACTAGTCCAGCCTTGGAAGACAAAAGAAAAATGAGGAAGAACCCAATAGAGGGATGCTTTTGGAAGCCCTTGTCAAGAAACTCCAATGGACTTTCATATGAACATTTGAAAATTGCCCTGTTCTGACTTTTTTCTAGTTCCCTGTCTAGAACTTGTAATGCTAATTACTCTTGCCTTTACTTCTCCTTCACATTTCCTATTCATGATTCAAAGACTTTCTTCGCCCCTTAGAGACAAGAGTTATGCAATTTGGGAGTCTTTTAGATAGACCCACTGAAGGGGTACTCCAATAGCCTCACCCTGCATCCCTGTTCAGCATGGAAGAAGCCAGAGTGGTTGGCGTCCCTATTCCTTTGATAATTTGGGTAACCCCTTCAGAGGATGGTGTGATAAGAATAGGAAGTAGGAATTGACTAGGCAGTTAGGGTAAAAATACCCCAAAGAAATGTAGCCAGTTTCTTGGCTAAAATTCAAAATGTCCTTGGGCCTGTTAGCAACATACTCTGTTCCAAGGCCAAAAATGTCAAAAGTATTTGGGAGCTTGTATCTAATCCTTAAAAGATTTTAGGGTTACCTCTTCAGAGGGGGGAATGTTGGAGGGGAGGGAGTGGGCATGGATTTGATCAAAACACCTTATATGCACGTATGAAATTCTCAATGAAGTTTTTGTAAAAACTTTTCTCATCAAGGTATTCTATTCCAAAAGAAAACCTTGGGGAGAAGAGTGACACTTTTGTATTTCTGCAAGGGCCTTTAATAGCTCTCATAACCAAGGACAGCTAGATTTTCCCATCTGCTTCTCAACTGGATCCTTTGTGACAGGTTTTCGGGGTTTTGTTGATTATTTTTAATTTTTTTATTTTTTATAATATTTATTTTTATTTTATGTGTATGAGTGTATTGCCTACATGTATGTAAGTGTACCCATGTCATGCAATGCCCATGGAGGCCAGAAGAAGGTGTCATATTCTCCCCTCCAAGAACTGGAGTTATGGACAGTTATTAGCCACCATGTGGGTGCTGAGAACTGAACCTGGAATCTGGATCCTCTAAAAGAGCAGCCAGTACTCTTAACCACTGAGCCATGCCTGGAGTCCCTTAAATTTATTTTTATTTTATGTGTATGAGTGGTCTTTTTTGCCTGCATGTTTGTAAGTATACCACATGCATGCAATGGAGGCTAGAATAGGGTGTCAGATCTCCTGGAACTGGAGTTACAGTTGTGAGCCTCCACGTTGGTACTGGGAGCTGATCTTTGGTTCTCTGCAAGAGCATCCAGTGCTCTTAACTGCTGGGCCACCTGTCCAGTCCCCAATATTTTAAAATTATTTTTAATTATATGTGTGTATGTATGTAGGTATGTATGTATGTATGTATGTATGTATGTATGGAGCATATACTCATAACTGCAGATGCCTATGGAGGCCAGAGGCATCAGATCTACCTGGACCTGGAATTACAAGTGGTTGTGTGCTGCCCAATGTGGGTGCTAGGAATCAAATGCAGGTCCTCTGAAAGGGAGGACTGGGTCTCCCTTTGTAACCCAGGCTGGCCTCCAATTCCCATCCTCCTGAATCAGCCAGTGCTGGGGATTACAGGAAGGTACCACAGTCAAACTTCTCAAAGGAGGCTTCTCTACCAACAGTTCCATGTGTGGTCTCTGTTCCAACTAGTATCTGTGTGAGGCTAGATTTCCTTCATGTATTCTGTATTTAAACCAAAATAGTCTGTTACGAAAATCTGGCAAGAGTGGCTGGATACATACTCAGGTGAGGGTCTAGTGACCCTGCTTAGCACTCCTTTAATGAATGAGCACAACCGTCAACAAGCCCAATTGTGACTATGTTTAGCAATCAGGCTCAGCCAAAGTCGTGATGATGGTAGTTATTTCATGCAGACAGGACTGCTGTATAGCATCATCTTATTAAAGGGACCTGGAATTTAAAACGATTTGGTGCTAGGAGCCACATATGAGGGAGAACATACGTTGTTTTTCTGAGTCTGTGTTACTTCACTTAGTATAACAGTTTCTAGATCCATCCACTTACCTGCAAATCTCATTATTTCATCTTTCTTTACTGCTGACCAGAACTCCATTGTGTAAATATACCACATTTTTGTTAACCACGCATCAGTTGAGGGACATTTTGGTTGCTTCCATCTCTTAGCTATTGTGAAAAGAGCAGCAACAAACATGGTTGTACAAGTGTCTCTACAATAGGATGAGTCCTTTGGGTATATGCCAAGGAGTGGTATAACTGGATCATATGGTAGGTTCAGTTTTAGTTTTTTAAGAGTTCTCCACACTGTTTTCCATAGAGGCTGCATGAGTTTGCAATCCCACCAGCAGTGAATGAGCATTCCCCTTTCTCAACATCCCTGCCAGCATTTGGTATCATTTGTTCTTTTGAGCCTAGCCAGTGTGATTGGGGTAAGGTGATAGCTTAGGGTGGTTTTAATTTGCATTTCCCTAATTAATAATGATGTTGAACACTTTTTGAGATGTTTCTTAGCCATCTCCCTGTAGTTAAGTCTGGATACATATTCCCTTATGAGGATTTGGTGCTAGGATCCACATATGAGGGAGAACATTCATCGATTCTTTGTTTTTTGATTTCTTTATATATTCTGGAAGTTAAACCTCTGTCAGATGTGTCATTGGTGAAGATTTTTTCCCATTCTTTGGGTTTTCTGAGAAGAGTCTTTTTTGGAGACAGGGTCTCCCTGTAGCCCCAGCTGGCCTGGAACTCATGAAGACCAGGCTGGCCTTGACTTCATAGAGATCTGCCTGCTTCTGCCTCCCGAGTGCTGGGATTAAAGATGTGCATATATTAAAGATGTGCTATAGGGAGACCCTGTTTCAAAAAGACCAAAAAAAAAAAGTGATTTAGGGGACTGGAGAGGTGGCTCAGGGGTTATGAACACTGCACACTGACTACTCTTGCAGAGGACCTTGGTTTGGTTCCCAGCACCCACATGGTAGCACCTAGCACCCACATGGTAGCAAACAACCTTTTTCTTTTTTTTTTTTTTTCTGTCGTTTTGAGACAGGGTCTCCCTGTAGCCCCAGCTGTCCTGGAACTTACTATGTAGACCAGGCTGGCCTTGAACTCACAGCGATCCACCTGCTTCTGCCTCCTGAGTGCTGGGATTAAAGGCGTGCACCACCACGCCTGGCTCTTTGCATCTTTTTAAATGTAATGTTTCATTTAATCTTTGAGAACTTCATATATGCATATATTTTGCTCATATTCACCTCCACCCTGCCCTATCCTACTACTTCTGGAGCCCTCCCTTTCCTCTGTGTCTTAATTATCGTCAGCTCGATATTTGAGGGAAGCATTTCCTTCAGTTAGAGATATACTTTGGGGGGTTGTTAAGGTGGCTCAGTAGGTAAAGGCACTTGCTATGAAGGCCTGATGACCTGAGTTCTATCCTTGGAACTCATATAAAGATGGAAGAAGGAAAGTGACTCCACAAAATTGACCTCTGACCTCCACACATGCCCCCTTACAGTTACATCAGGCATGCATGCATGCATGCACACACACAACAATAAAGTTTCAATTTTTAAAAATATACTTTTTTTTTCGGCCTTTTTGAGACAGGGTCTCCCTGTAGCCCCAGCTGTCCTGGAACTCACTATGTAGACCAGGCTGGCCTTGAACTAGCAGA